AAAAGGGAAGTAGTTGAGGGGCAGTATAACTCACAAGGTTGTTTATGCCCTTCAACCGTTCATGTAAATGAGTATTTACAATAATCCATTTATAATTACATGGTTTAGCTATTGTTTATGCGAGATAACAATATTTCTCCCAATGATGTGAAAAAATGTGCAGCCTATAAATATGCAGACAAAAGCCATCTCAGTGCCTCTTCCCCCTTTAAGAACTACTACTATGCCTGATAGCAAATCTAAGTGCTATATATCATATACAATTGCTAAACAAGTCATATTGTTATTTACAATTTCCCTATTAGGACGTAACACAAAGTGCTATTGCTGGCTTGTTTTTGAAGGTGCCAGCTCAAAGACTGTACCCCAATCCTCTCTTCACTGTCTGGTCTATCACTAACCTGAAACAATAGTTTATATATTCGTTTATGGACCTGATAGACATACGCTTGTTCCTGATTAGTGATTCAGAGAGGTATGCCTGCCCAGGTCCCGGCACTTTCAAAAGTAAATCTGCAATCACAGCTCCCATATATCTATCCAGATCTGGGTTCCCTGTAATGTCCTTAAAAAAAAGACCTTTCCATGTCAACTGGCAGCCATCTACTGCTTTCTTAAAACGAAAGAAATTCAAATGACTCTTTCATTAAACCGTGTCTACATTACCCTATTGTCGTTTGATGTTTACCTTTAATACAAGGATTTATCTTTTTCGTTGGGGGGAAGAAATTGGTTTCATTTAAGAGAAAAAAAAAAAAAAGACAAGCCTTGTTTAGATTCTAACCATCATCAGGCTGTAGAGATGGAGGATTTGCAATCTTTCAATGTCAGCCTGTCGTTATTTTTGCATCCTAGGCATCAAATACTGGACACTTGGTATCATAACATTATGAATGAAGTAAATATGGGGAAGCAGAATGCCCACATTAATTGGATGTTGTGGCTAAACCTACCGGGCAACAGCTACTGAAGATTTATTTATTAAAGCGGTAGTAAAAAAAAAAACAAACAAAAACCCAAAAACCTGCAAGACAATGTCATATTGAGCTAGTATGCATCGCCCACTAGCACATTATGTGAAACTTACCTTAAAATGGAGCCCTCCAGCAGGGCGCTGTCACCGCTGACAAGCTTCCATCTTCACCCGGTCCTTCTTCCAGGTTCACAGGCTCCCGTGGCTTGAATGGCCGTGCAGCGATGACGTCACTCCCAAGCATGCACGCGGGGAGTCAATTTTATGGCACACAGCTCTAAAGGAACGGCACGGGCATGTTGTTTTCTTCAGAGAGCATGTGCCGGAGTCTTTTTTCAAGTAAATGGCTCATAAACGGTGCACGTTTAGGAGATATTTCAGTACCCATAAGTAAGCCTTGTTATAGGCTTACCTGTAGGTACGAGTTAAAAAAACAACAACTTTACTACCAATTTAAATGACTACTACTTGTGTCTCTGTTTCTATAGACTGATGCATTATTTACATTTTCTAATTGTTATATGTATGAAGGCCTGGCCAAAGCATCCTTTGCTTGTCAAACTCAAACTCTTCTTTAATTTCAAGTCCTTCCTAATCCATATAGAAAGCATTATCCTCTCAGTAATCTACCCCAAGCCCCTAAATACTTACACAGACATTAAATAGCATTTTATCTTTTAGCTCAACTGGCTACTCATTGTGAAGGAGCATAGTCTATATTCTGAGACTGATACTTGCCTAATTATCAAATACAATTTGACAATTAAGCAAACACATTTGCAAGGAGGCTTTTAATCATTTTAATTTGCATTTGTCTTCTTTGGTCATAACTCACAAATTTACCTACAGCTGAGAAGAGAACGATGGAAGAGTGACCCATGAACTTCAAGCCCACTATGAGTATGTACAATACACAAAAAGTAGACAATGCTATCCCACCCCCACCCCGTTTGTGTTTCAGCGGAATAACTGTATGCTGAATATTTCACCAGGCGCAAGAACCTACAACAGTCAATGCCCAGCACTAGAATTACAACAAAGCAACAACACAGAGGAAATCCTCAGATGTTATTTAAAAGTTCTAGAAGATTTCTTATGTGCTGCAGGAATTTATCAAACTATCTGCAGGGCAACCCGCTTTTGGCGTTCTGCCTACCTTGCAAATCTATATCAATGCAAAGGGAATAGGGATTCCAGAAATGTCTATTTGCCATTTCTGGTCATACTAAACTGACCAGTGCTTCGTCTACAGTTCCCTAATTCCCTTTGGTCATGAACATAAAAGTCATGGCATCTGAAGAGTTTCTTCACAATCCTGAATAGCAGCACTCTGACCACACATGTGATAAATTACCTCTTTTGGCAGAATCTATAATAAACAAGAAACATATACAGATTTTCCATATTTGTAGAGAAGTAAACACATTTTAAAACTATTTATGTTTTATTTCTTCTAGTTGAGTAAATAAGACCTCTTTCACTAGAGTTTCAAAAACTACAGCCTGTGGACTTGACACTCCAGGGCAGGAATAAGGCAGTCCAACCAGCCTCCTATGCCAGGGCTGGGCCCCATCAGTTCAAAAGGGGGGTCTGGGCACCTGCTAAGCATGAGGGCCAGCTGTACTGTCTTATTGCTGATACTTGTGTCTCCTGTGGATCCCCTGCTGCGCTGCCTGCTTCTACTCCTCTGTTTCCCTCTAGCTGCGCTGCAGGGGGATTGGTTCTACTATCTGCCCTGCCACCCCCCCCCCCCCACCTGCTGTCTGGGTTCCCCCAGTGTGTCCTCTTCCCCCGCAGCACTGATGGCTTCTCTTCTCTCCAGCTAGCAGCTTCTGCGGGCACACAGGGGTAGTGTTTCAGGATGGAGAGTGGGGGCCGGTAAATATGTCAGGTAGGCTGTACGGGGCCCTATGATTTCTACCACCAGCCCCTGCTCCAGAGTGTTGTGTAGCTAGTTTACCAAGATGCTGGGACCTGCATACCTTTATATCATATCAAATTACATACAAAGCCGAATAAATCAGAATTATAAGAGCAGTCAACAAGTGCAGAGGTAGTGCTGAAGGACTAAACTGCAGGCAACATTTTATATTCACATATAAGCTGTAGAGCACCCCCAGCTCCTAAAATGCAATTTATTTCCAAAACCATGCCTATTTACATCCCTTTTATATCTCCCCACTAGTCAATCCTTGTGAAAGACATTCTTACTAATCAACAGAAAAGTTATAGGAGTGGGACCAAGAGCAATTTCAAGAATTAAAGTCGCTATTTGCAAATTAGAGCCCCCGGCATCTCTGGATTGTATGCAATTATATGTGCAGACCTATCTGTACTTACATGACTACCTAGAAGTTAAAAAAATGTGTACACAGTTCTACATGAATGAATTTGGCTGCTCAAAAAAACACACGGAAATCCATCAATGGCCAGCTTTAGGTTGTGTTTATACAAAATTCTTTCTATTTCATACATTTCTTGCTCTACACTATGACATACCATTTGAATGGGCTGCCGTGCCTCCTGAAAAATGCAGGGAAAGGTCCCTGCTCTATTTTTGAAACCGCAGCCTGCATGGAAACCGCAAGTGCAGTATGGTTTCCAGTGCGGGAAGCTGCTGATGCGATTTCCAGTGTGTGCGGGTGCCATTAGGATTAATGGCACTCACACACATCTCCTGAGCTGCAGTGCATTTTTATGTGCAGTGGCTGCAGGTGAGGTCCTAGGCTTAAAGTGTTACTAAACCCAGGGCCCTGCACTCTACTATATCTTGTCTCCCACAGTACACAGAACATGGAAATGCAATTATTTTAGTAAATATAAACTGCTAAATACCTTTTCTCATCAGAAGTTAGAACAGTCTTGTGACCTCTAACAGTGTCCAACTGAGCACTGGTTAAAGCTTGTAGGAGGAGTTTTCATTCTCCTCTACAAGGATGCAAAACCCCTGACCTCTGTCTGACCAGTGCTGATCACATGCACTCTCCCAAGGAAAAAAAAAATAACTAAGCAATACACACCAAACTTAGTATGTGCAAAATGCCTACGGTTCAGTCAGTCTTATCAGGAGATAAGAGGTGGACGCTTGAACTAGGGGAAGAACAGAGCAGTCAGGATCAAACAGCCTTTTTACACAATGCAGAGGATTAACCCCTTAGGTTCCACAGTGAGTATAACAAGCATGCTTTACTGCATTATGTAGGCTGATTTTACTGTTGTGGGTTTAGTAACACTTTAATGAACTCTAATGGTACCAACAAATTTGTCCACGTCTGCATGTGCGGAATTCATAGTGAACCCATCCATGCAAGTTGCAATAAGAGAGACAATTCACCTTATGCCAATGACTAAAATATAGATTCTTTAATATATCATGTTTAAACATGATACAGCAGTGACACAGATAAGTAAAGACAGAATACTGGTGCAGGGAAATTGCATTTTTGCACAGAATTAGGTTTAATATCATCCTGTTTTATTACCTTAGAGACCTATTTACAAAAGGTCAGAGAAATAACAGCATTTCATTTTACAACCCTATTTTCCCTCTAAATTATGTATGTTTTTTTTCTCTTTTTGACATAAAAAGGTATAAATGCTGAAAATCATTAAAAAAAATAGATTTTTACAGGCTTTTTTGGAAATGGAACAAAAATATTCAGTGAAGTGAAGTTCCCTCTCCACCTTTTCTCTGGTGAAAAGAAAGGAGAATTCAAGAACTAAGGTAGTATAAAATTACCATTAAAATATTTAAGAAAACAACTAGCAGAAAGTTTTTATGACCTGGCAAAATCTACCTACCAAATAGCACCTTTATGAAAATATGGTTGAAATTCAGATATATAGTATTAAAATGTCAAAATCCTCACAGAAATATCCCACAAAGTATCAATTGTGACTTTTTACAAACAGATCTCTTAGGTTTAGTTACATATTTTAGATCAACTTAATGCAGGAGAGCAGGGAAATTTAAAAAAGGTAATAGAGTTTGATAGCAGCACATAAAAACAACACTTTGTTTTCTTACCAATGATGACAGTGTTGTCATCGGCAACGAGCAGCTTGCTGTGGACATATATCAGTTCAGAGACCAGGTTTCCTTCCAGCTCAGCATGGGTTCGGAGACCACAGAAAGATATGTAGTTCAGCCATTTATCCCCAACTGAAAAAAAAAGAGCAGCTTTTATTAAAACCATCTCCTATTGACTAATGTCACCAAAAACTGCAGGTAAAGAAACCATAGCACTAACGAAAAACATAAGGCCGTCAGCAAAATAGAAGCTGGATGTTCTGTAATTGGCTTACAAATTCTTTTACTACTAAAAGTGAAACTTCCTCCAAAATATTTTTACATGGTAGAAAACGGTTATAATCTCTGTAAATTCTGACACAATTACTTGCTGGGACAAGAAGTATTGGGAAAGAAACTAAAAGAGCCAACATTTCAATCAGATGAAAAAATAATACTTTGCCTTTATCACTTTTAAAAATATAAAACAAACATTTCAACAAATAGTGTCAACTAATTTTGTTAACTTCCAAGGAATAATTCATGTCAATCTGTGAAAGATTATTGCTAGTTACAAAAAAAACTTTAGATTAATGTAAGGCATGCAGTCTCCTCAATTTACCTCTAGGTCTCTTGTACACTGCAGCTGATAAACTCACATTTAGGAGATTTTCTGCGTTTTTTTCAGCAGCCCCTGAACTCTCCCTAATGTTTTCCTATGTGTCCATGTACACATAGTCATTTACAGGCAGTTGAGTTTACAGTCATTTTTTTGAACGCACCAAACTTGCGTTCAGGAGTAGATTTTACTGGCGTTTCAAACACCAAACGCTTGTAAACGCGGTTAACCACGTTTCTAAGAGTTTACATTTAGAAGTGTTTTTTAACTGTTCAATGTCCAGATGCTGTTCAGAGCCTTTTTTCATCATCAGAAATGTATGCAAAGCGTTTTCCATGTATTCAAATGGACCCAGTACACCAGTGCAGTCAGTTCCAGGTTTCGCGTGAAGGAAAAAATGGTAGAACGTGCCGCATTATGCTCATGATGGGATCCATAGTTTATACAACCAGTAAAGACTGGTAATCTCAACTCAAGCTGCTCTCTCTGCTTCTGCTCTCTCTATTCCTCTAAAAATGTCTGTAATAGTTAAGGTTATCTTTTAAAAACACTTCTAAATGCAAACGCGCATAAACGCGGTATTCAAGCGCGGCTAAACTGACGTTTTTTTAACCTACGTTTTCCAGCAGTCAGTTTCCATTGTTCAGAAGAGTTTTCCAAATGCCCTGTGTACATGAGCCCTTAATCTGAATTTATAAAATCCCAGGCAGTCAGATTTACAAGAATTCTTAGAGGGCTGTAAGTGGAACTACAGCTCTTTATATTATGATCTAGTGCAGTCTCCCTTGCAAGCACTAAGCACAAGGCAGAGACTCAGGAAAAGGGTGGTCATTTTACACATAAAAAAACTGTAGATGCAGAGATAACAGCAACTAGTTACCAAGGATAACAGGATGTTTGTACCTGCTGTAAAAAAATTTTCTTGTCCGTTGAGAGACAAAGACATTCTTAAAACTGCCAGATTATAACATTAAAAAACACAACATGCTGGACAGCACAAAGTACTCCTGCCTACAAACAATAGGCCTTAGTTTTGCAGTACACTAGTACCAAGAGCGTGAAAATAATGACAAAAGGGGGAAGGGATATGTGTTCCTGATTGGATTCCAAGAAAAGCATTTAATGTGGAGTACAAATATCCTATTTACTTTGTCTATTGAGGGACACAGAATTCTTAGACTATCAGGACGTTCACAGACAGTTCAAGTGAGGGATGTGCAACATAGCAACAAGTGCTAACACAGCCAAGCAAAAAACAAACTGGGGACTTCTTGCAGCTCAAAAAGCCAACTGAAAGATTTACTGCCTGAAGCTAGCATCAAATAAAGCGTGATATTTCAGCCGTAGAACTTAGAAAATCAAAAACAGAAGACCAGGTGGTAGCCTTGCAAACCTGGAAAAGTTAGTTGATGCTGAAAAAAGCAAAAAGCACACACAGCTCTAGAAGGGTGCACCTTGATAGGAATAGCTGGTGGATGATGGTCTGCTAGCTAAAATACCTAGAGATGGTGAGTAGAGAAGCCAGTATACCCGGAGGAGGAATATGAAGGGAGGAGGATCACTGGAATGTCTCCTATCTCGATCCTGTGAAACAGACCAGGAAGAGGTTTCAGGAAAGGAAAGGTGTAGATCAGGGTGTACAGGCCCCATAAAGCCACAAGGAGTATCCACTGCCTTTGCTAGAGGATCCTTGTATCTGAAAACAAACCTGTCTAGTTGGTTGTTGAATCTGAAGGTCAGGAGGAACACATCCCTTGTCTCCCACCTGTACACAGGTCTTGGACCACCTCTGGGTGTAGGGACCACTCCCTTGGGCCCAGACGCTACTGATGCTGGCTCTAGAAATATGCCATGTCTATATATATATGGAAACTAAAGTACCACACCATTGCCAAGAGGTCTAGATACAACTTTATAGAGAAAAAAAAAAAAAGTCAGAGATAATCCCACGAATATACAACAGCTTTTGGTGGTCTAAAAAGAAGATCAGCAAGGTTGCTGCCAAACTAGCTGCTGGCAAGGCCGGTGCTTGTAGTCATACTGGAGCAAATAACAGCTGAATTCTAGTCCAGTGACATTGTTTTCAATCAAGCCCTGTTAAAGGGGGCATTTTAGTGGCAAAACTGCTGGTTTCTCATGATGATTTATGTACACCACTGCTGTGGCAGCGTTTGACTGAATGTAGGTCAGATGACTCTACAGCAGGATGGTCCAACACTGTAGAGAAAGCCAAATTGCCCGATGTTTCAGGATGTTGATTTAGAGATGAGGCTCCTCCAACATCCCAGTCCCCAGAATTCTATCTTTCTGGTCCTTGGTGATAGATGAATCAGTCTGTCCACAAACTGGATTGACAAGTACCATGACAATGGAATAATGCGTTGCAAAATCCTGGAGTGAACCTGAAAAAAATGGGACTGCCTCCTAAGAGGCTATTAACAGACAAAGTACACAAGTATAAAGTCGAAAAAAAAGCTCCTGGGCCACAGATTTCAAAACCTGAGACTTGAGTGTCTGAAGTCTCTACTGTAGAAGGAACACGCATGACTGGAGCTGTCCAGGACTAGACCCAGATACTCCAAATAGTCAGTCAGTTCCAGAAACGGTTTTTAAAGTTTTAGGATACACCTGCATTACTGTAACATTTGGATGGTCATCACCATGCTGTCCATCAGAGGTGGTAGTGTAGTTGAGACAGGTGTGTGGGAAGGGTAGTTGTGCTGGAAAGACAGGAACATGCAGATATGCATTCTTGGTGTCCACAAAACTCAGAGTGTTTTCCTGCTGAAGGGAGGCAGTGAGAGATGTGGTGGATTTGCTGTGCAATTTCTGGATTCAAATGAAGTCCAGAAATCCAAGACAGGGCAAATCCCCCTTTTGTTTATAGGAATAAGAGGGGCAAAGAGCAAAACTTCAGTTGGTAACCCTGGGATACCCACCTTCTGCATTCAAATATCAGACATGCAAATTGTCAAGGTCACCCCGCTTTGCAATATGGGCACGCATCTGCATGCCGAAGACTGCATGTCCGAGGATTTGGCAATGTTTGATTGCCAGACCTTGCAGCCACACAAGGAACCAGCCTAAAAAGGTCTCCAGGAGGAAATGGAGAAATGAAAGGAAGATTTGTTGGCATTCAGAGAGGGGGAAGGCTATCAGTCTATTCCTTAAGCTTTTTCAGTTGATAAAATGGAATTGATCCAAAGAGATGTCCCCTGAAGACTATGCAGAATACACACTTTTATACAAGAATTCCGCAGCCGAGCACTGTGACCAGACTACCCATGCATGAATACAGACAGGAGAACCACAGGTGTGAGAAAAAAAAAAGAAAAAACCAGACTGGCAAAGCAGAAATGAAAAATTATAGGTATTTGTTCATGTGAAATTGGTCCAAATGATTCTTCCTTCATAGAGTACTACTTCCAGCAAGTCTGAATTTGTGCCCCATGGGATATTGCTCCATCCTCTGCAGGTAGCGTAACCAGGTGAGAATAACAGGTGAGAATACCCTCATCAAAGGACTATGTCCTGCAGTGCACTTTTATATATACAGCAACCTAAATTCTACTCACTAGATAAAAGTGAAGGCCCAACAAAACAAGCTAAGGGTTAAGACCCAAACCAATCCCCCAATTGCCCTGGCGTATTACAATACCAAAAGCAATGAAGAGACCAGAAACAGGACTTTAGCTAGTACCAGGCCACTAAAAATACAAACTGGTCACACAGAAATGCTGGAAGGGAATCAACTAGTTGCTCAGAGCGTAAAGATTAAGCAGTGTTAACATCTGCATCAGGGTAGGTGGAACATGGAAATAAACTCATAGAAAAATCCAAAACAGGCTGAAAATTAACCAAAAGAGGCATAAAAGCCTACCTCCAGGTTTAAATAGTTTGTTTGCACCAAGCTGGCCCAAACAAACTACTTTCTTTACTAAGTGATGGCTGCGAGTATTGCATCATAACACAAGCTATGTAAAGCAAGCAGCACTGTTTCCGCAGCATCTCAGGAGGCTTCCTATTTGATGCTGGAACAAAAATGGAGTCAGGCCAAATGCTTCTCATTTACAGAAAGCCTTGTATTTTTACCAGTACAAGACTTCCTCTGATTGGCAGAGGTGGCGAGATGGGCAGATAACGTCAATCTCCACTTCAGCAAATCAGCACTCACAGCAGCTGTATCACTTAATAAAAGAAATGGTTTGTATAAGCCAGTACAACCTGGTTGTGTTCTGAGCAGCCTATATTAACATAGAGCATGTGCATTTATAGAGAAGGTATAGCATGGCCATACTAATACATTGTTTGTGTATTAGTTTTAGATAGAGTTTGGAATGGACATGATTACTGTTGAGTTTTAAAGTGTCAGTAATCCCACATCATTAAAAAAAGATGAGATTAGTCACTACGAGATTAGTTTTCTGTATTCTGCATAAAACCTGGTTGATACTGCTTTTCTTTGTTTCCCCCTTCTGTCCATGTCCCCATTGCAGATGGGAATTTTGCAGAGCACTGTTGGCAGCTCTGCACATGCTCAGTTTTCAGTGACTTCCTATGCTGTGCATTTCCTCCCCATCACATCTGAGCAGCCCATGTGACTATAGAGTCACACATGTGGGCATATACACAGTGGTAAATGTCAGCCCACTGCATCTCTCCTCCTCCTCCATGCCCACTAACCAGCTAAACACAATGAGGGCAGGATTAAATTGGATATTATATGTAGATTAATAGAGACATCACCTCCCTGTTATTTCTAAGACACATGCTGGAGGGGTTGTAACACAGCCCCTGACTGGCAGAAATCTGCCCACAGCATGCTACTGGCAAAAAATAATAAAGATTTGATTTCAAATATATATTTGAATGCCAATTTAAAACAGTTTATTGATATTTATTTTTACTTTGTATTCCAAAAGGCAGTTTTTTTTTGTTTTTTTTTTTCTATTTTAAAACATGTGACCAACAGCAGAGGACTAGAAGCTCCTCCTGCCTAGGTTTCTCTGCAGACAGACTGAGAAACTGCAAGGTCATGTGACAGCTGTATATCAATTAGGAAAAAGGTAAATTTTTTTAATTAAATAATTACAGTACCATCATCCATATACAGAAATAGAAGGGACAATGTAAATTAAACAGTGTGTGTTTAGTATCACTTTAATTGTTGCCAATTTCCCATCCTGATGTTTTATACAAAATAGGAAGGGGGGAATATTTTCCCAATTTCCAAGACTTTTTTTTTTTTTTAATTGCGTTAAGCGGAGCAGGAATGTGTTTGAATCCTTCTCAGGATATGGCTGTTTTTTGTGCTCCCATAGGAGAATTTTCCACTCACTTCCTGTCCAGGTGGTGGATGCCAGGAAACGGAAAAAAACAAGTGGTCAAGATAAATTTCTCCAGTGTGGACATAGTAAAACTGATAGCAGCTTTTCATTATGGCATTATGAAAAAAAAGGTTGACTTTTTATTTAATATAGCATGTACTGATTTGTATATGAATATGGGCCTAAGTAGTTTGAACTTCATTATAAACTAACAAATGACTTTAGAAATAATAACCTGACACATAAGCATAAAGCTATTCACAGCATACACACAATAGTGGTCATGTATAAATGTCCCAAGAGAGACATTATCTGGACAGCAGCATACACATTAGTGCAGTACTGAAATTACTGACTGTCATGCTAAGTGACTTCCACAAAGATCACCATAAAAAAGGAAATTATATGGTCATTTACAAAAGGTCTATGTGTTATGTGCAGAAGAATATCACATAACTGAAACACTGTATCAAAACCAACTTTGATTAATTTTTTTATTAATTTGATGTGTACAGGAAAGGAGAAAAAGTTTAAAAAAACACAAAACAAAAAAAAAAAAAAAACTCACTTTCTGCTTTCAGCTGTTCAATGATGGAATGCTCTCCCCTGCAGATGGTCCTATAAATAATTGATATCGAAAATCAAACTCAGAGCACAATGTGGACAAGAAATGAGCACAACACAGACATATTAGAAATTACAAAGTAATTAATAGAAAGTCATTTCTGTGTATCAGTTTGGTATGTGTGTTACACCAATTTATTGGCTATTAGGCCTGTGGAAAGCAGATAAGTAGCTGTGGTATAATTTATCAACCACCAAATTACCCAATGACACAAATACACCTAGACGATCAGGAGACTATATCCAGCAGTTTGCACACGAATGCTACATAGAAATGGACACATGAGGGAGCCAAACTACAGAACAGTAGAAGTTGAAAATCACTGCAGTTCTTGAAATGAGTGGAACGCTGTGAAGTTCTATACAGACAGACAAGATAGAGAGCTGAAAAACAAACTCTGCAAAGCACTGAGCAAAGAAATTGAAACAAAATGTGTGCTGTTCCTACTTTCAGGGACTCATTTACACTCGAGTCACCCTATGAAGGTGGATCTCTTTTCAGAGGGCATTTGACAGGTGATTTGTACATATTCCCATCCCAGTAATCTTTTAACAAAGATTGCAGCAGTTTCATTAACATATTGTGTTGCTAGTTTAAAATGTATTTGCATGCTTTGCGTTACCTGTAGTTGAAATGCATGACAGCCTGCAAGGCATTTCCTCCTCCCGTTGAAATGTCTCCTTCAAACCCAGGGAGGAGCGGAGTGATGACATACACCCGATACCTTTTGTTTTCCCTGCAAGTCAGAACATAGTACACCGTATGACACTTCTGTACATTAGCACACTTTTTATCAAGCTGGATGTGTTCTAGGTTATTCAAAATGATCCCTTCCCGGTTTACAGGTTGATAATATTTAGAGAAAATAAATCAATATATTATTTTAAGGGTAATGGGCTCAATTCACAAACCTAACACACCAGGATATGCAGACTTCCAAAAAGTGGCATTTATTTTCAGTTAAGTCCAGTATAGCCCAGCACACACATTACAATCGGATTGTACAATCTTCTTTAGATCTACCAAAAACAGAATAGCCAAGGTCCTGCATGACTGTATACAAATTGGTTAGATTAGGTGGGTCATCATAATAACTTATTAGTGTAGCTTGGTGTGGTATGGGGGTCTTAAAAGTAGAATATTACAGCCACATAGCTATAATAGAGAAATGTATTCTTGTGTTAAAGCAGGAGTGTCAAACTCCATTTCATTGTGGGCCGTATCAGCATTATGGTTGCTCTCAAAGGGCCAGTTGTATCTGTAAGTCTAGATGTCCAGAGCACCCCACCCCCCATTACATCAGATGTCAAGAAATCCACACCCTCCCCCTAACATCACTGTGCATCCCCTTTGGGGGCAGAGCCGGAAAGCAGAAAGAGCAGGGTCTGGAGGAGGACCAGAGGAGTGGAGTCATTTACCAGAGTCTGGTGAATGCTGAGACCAGGGGAGGCAGAGATGAGGGGGTGCTGCAGCTGCACTGAGAGGTGCAGGATTTGGCACAGGAGTTCTATTCTCCTCTCTGCTTCCATCTGCCGAGACAAGGTGGGGATGGAAACAAGGAGAGGTGCAAGGGCTACATGAAATGGCCTGGAAGGCCAGATTCAGCCCGCGGGCTTTGCATTTGACACCTTTGTTAAAGCTTTGTTAACAAAGCCTAACCTAAAACATACCTGTGGCTTTGTTAAATAAATTAGTCCTCTGGGTTGGATAGCAGGCCCATCTCTACATGCACAAACATTTTTCCAAAGCAACACCTTTGGAAACCCAATTAGGTGCTATAATATGAAAATTATTTGGTGGTCTTAAGGACCAATTGGGAGGCATGGGCAGCAGGTAGGGGCAAGCTACACAGCAACCGTGCAGACTTTGGTTGCAAACTTTAGTGTTGATCATACGATTTGGGGCTCCCAAAATTACCTGGAAACAGGATTGGTTAACAGTCACCAAGAGGTGCCCACTTCTGAGCACATAGCTTAACAACTCTAATGAACTCCAAAGCCATGCTTTTAATTTCAGTTAATTGGCTCCTGTTTAAATTGGCCCTAGTATGTGTATGTATGAATTTGAGTTAGGGACCAAAGTTTGTAAGCTCCTTGAGGGCAGGGACTGATGTGAATGTATATTATATATACAAAAATGCTGCATAAATTGGCAGCGCTATATAAGTACCTGTAATAATGCACAAATAATGACCAAGAATGATTGTTTAAGAATGCTATAAAAACCACTTACAGCCATATTCACTAAAGAGTGCTTATTCTTAAAGGCATTGTAAACCTTCCTACTTGCACCTTGGGTTTCACCTGCATACAATGTGCTTTGATCATGCAATTTCATGGTGCCCTATTTGTAAAGTATTGTAGAAACATCTGACAAAGGGAATGTGAAGATTTACACTTGTGTTCAGCATGACGCATGTGGCATGGCACTGCACAGAGCAATACATGGCCGCTGTCTGTAGTCTGGGTACTTGCATTTCCTGTAAAGAAACTGTATATCCCACAATCCCCGGGTATCTCCGCTTAGTGCTCTGCATGTGATCGCTAAACAGTAATTAAATGTGACACAGACACAAACAGGCAGAGAAATCACCAAGCTGCAAGAGATGCATTTTTCATCTCATGCAACACTGAAGAAATGGCAAGGCCTGCACTGGATGTGGTGGGACCCAGAATAAGAAATGTCCTGTCTCTCTGGTGACTAGATCCATGGATATAGGGAAATCAACTGACAATTTCATTACAAACACTACAACATCAGATTGTAATCTTTACAGGGTAAGAAAAACAAACACAATGAATATGACTGTACTAATAATCAAAACAACAAAAACCATTTGAAAGTGTACAATGCCTTTAAATGAATCCTGGATTGGTCAGACTTTAGTAAAATGTATCCCGATTGCTAGTTATATGTTGCACTTATAAATTGCCAGCTAATAAATCTTTTATGAACTAGGCAGCAATTGTTAGCTTACGAAAGTATAATATAAGTAGGTGACAGGATAAGAACTTACTTGTGAGCTTTGATGATTCTCTGAGCAATTGCATCACCAATCTTGTTAAACACAACTTTATTGTCAGAACAGCTGATAAAAAAACTGGTTCTAAAAAAAAAAAGTAATAATATTAAAATATAAAATCAGGGAGGGTAAAAAGGAAATGTATTGGGATACAAATTAGAGTGCGAACAAGAGATAGAGAAAGAATGGTGGACAAAGAAAGGAAAGGCAGATGTATAGAGGGGTACTTGCCAACAATGAAATAGGAAACCTTGAATTAGTTGTAAAGATTTGTTGTAAAGTGGCATCATAGTGAGGTTTTTTTCACACTGAGTGATTGAGCAAGATCTCTCACCAATTCCCACATTTACAATTTGGTCAGCAATAGTTGTATTTCAAAGTATTGATGCTATGTTTAATGTGACAAAGTGTCATGCTGGATAAAAAGGAAAACCAAACAAGAATATGTTGTTTGATATTGCCTTGATATGCTGCAGAGCCACTGCTAGAAATAGGATTCTCACTTGCCTGTACAAGGAGTCAGTTGCTCAGTTATTTTAGGCTGATCATTGGTAGTCTACTTGGTTGTTCATTGATCAGATGTTTCTTTAATGGTCATCCTGATTACTCCTGTGTTGGGAGGTTGTCTATCAATTTGCCATCTGATGGTCCATCCCTGGTTGATTGGGACTTCATGTTCCTGCTGTAATGCCTAGGTCCGCCTGTCCCTTCTGGGCCCTTTATTTGCTGCCGCTGTTTCTCCTGGCCTCTTTGTCTACTTATGTGTCCACCTGCTTCTCATCCTGCCCTTCCCTGGGTATATCTGACCAACTATTGCTGCTTTCCTTTCTGATCACTCTCCTGTGATCAAATCTGCTTCCTGGCTCCAATTGTTTGCCCCTGTGTTAGCAAATGTGCTCTTCTTATTCATCTCTTGTGTGTTGTGCATGTGAAGAAGTCTGGAGAAGGGTACATTATCTGACCAACCAATGCTCCTTTAAAGGGATGCTGGAGTTCACACTCCAATCGCCTGTTACAGTGTTTAGATTACTTTCAATAAGGTGTACTTCTGTGTGATCATCTGTCCAATTCCTGCTGTTATTTCCATCTATCCAGTCCCCAAGAGTGTTTAGAATCCCTGGCTCTGTCTCAGCACGTGTCTGACTTTTAGTTCCAGGTTACTCCTCATGTAAACTGATCTCTCTCTCTTTTTGCCTCAACTTCTGTGTGCTCATCTGTTCCAAACCTCTGCTCTTTGGACTTTCAAAACTATTCTAAGAGAATTGTCTCATGATCCTTATTCCTTTGGTACCACATTGCTTATCTTTGTATTTTAGCTTGTCTGGCTCCACATTATTGTATGTGTATGATTGCATATGAGGGCTTATTCCTGCTGGTACTGCATACTTTGACCAATCTGACAAACCCAGGTAGAAAGAGATTGACCCAAATGATTTAAATTTACAGGACATTTGGATTTCAGCTTTAAAGGATAAGGTCACCTTTAAAAAGAAAAAAAAAAAAAATGAATGCACATTTTTGCAGGTAAAAAATAAAAATCTGCATTTACCATTTTTCTTTTTTGTAGGAGCCTGGAAAGCATTGCACCCATGGTCAGCAGATTGTAGGTGCAATACAGGGCTCCTGCAGACTGTCAGTGTAAGCTGTTTGCCCGTACTTCATGCAGGCAGGCAGTTACACGACAGGAGGAATCAACAGCACCCTGGTAGTTCATTAGGGACTACGAGCCATCAGCAGCAAAGGATTTTGGTAATTGTAGTTCATTCCATTCGCAGAAATCTGTGCAGGGTTCCGCACGGCCATGCTCTTTTCAAATAGAGGCAATGAGTGCGGGGAGAAGATCCCCAGCCCGCTCTCGTAGAGAGGTGGGGGATTAGGAAGTGGAAGCAGCCTAAAAATAGCTGGAACATGTAACATGCTTCCAAAAGGTGAACTTATCCTTTAAGTCTTTTAGGATATGCATATACCAGTTTTGCCTACTATTAAGACTGCCTACTGTTAGGTTTACCAGGTTTATCTTTTAGGTTTTAACCCACTCTTCAAGTGAGATTTGTTCAAGATTACATAGATTGGTCAGAAAACACAATTTTAAAACAGAACATAGCACTGTTAACTTAGGCAATCACAATCCCTTGCAGTCCAAATTGCAACAATACAGTATTTTATTATACCTCAATGTATATGTAGTGCTTGCTGTTTTCTATTACGTGGATGTACGCATTGTGAATGGACTCTTCATGGTACTTGATACCTGCTGACCAGTCTGCTGCAGAACGGATCACCTAGGAAGGGTCAGAACAAGAACATTAGACACAAGAATTACATTTTTTGTCAGCACAAACATATAAACAGTTCAGGGCAAGCAATGTGTTGTACCAGGTACATTAAAATTTTGGTTATACATTTTAGGTAACCCAACATCTAAACCAGCCTTGCCTGACCTGATTGCCATGGAGGAACCCTTAAAATGGTTTTCAGATCTCAGGGAACCGCCACTAAAATTAAGAGACCTACAAGCTCATAGCACAAAAGTATATTAGTGGGTTGTAGAAAATTACACAGCTGGTAAGAAAGAAGAAACCAGTACATCCAGTTCAACCTGTGTGGGGGGTGTGTGTATATATATATCTATCTCACACATACATATGTCAATACCATTTTCCATATCCCTGTGTATTTTATTCGCTAAGATGCCCATCGAAGAGTATTTTGAAATGATCAACACACTCTGCTGACACCACCAACTGTGGAAGGGAGTTCCACATCCCTTACCAATCTGACAGTAAAGAACCCCTTACGAAGTTTATAGTTAAACCGCTTCTTGTCTAACTTCATTGAGTGGCCGTGTGTTCTCTTAAGACACCTGAGGTTGAACAGTTTTCTTCCTATTCCTGAATAGCCATTAAGATATTTGTATATCACTATTACATCACCTCTTATGCTTCTCTACTTCAAAGAGAAGTTTAATGCTTGTAGTATATCCTTTTACCTGAGGCCCTCCAGTCCCCTTATTAGCTTTGTGGTCTTTCTCAGGACTCTTTCCAGTTCCAGCACATCCTTACTGAGGACTTGTGACCAGAAATGGATGGCATACTCGAGATAAGACCTGGCCAGCATTTTGTAAAGTGAATTGTAGTCTTCCCTTTTTGAGTAAAAATCTTTTTTACCCTAAAGTTCAGCCATCCAGGTATAACCTTAGCTTTTCTTATATTTGCTGCCCACTGAAATGTATTGGCTAATGATTTGGTTAAATTTGTACTTAAAAAGCTCCCATTTTTTGAGTGTTCATGGTTTCTACAATTTTATCTCATTTAAAATCTTGTAGTATGGAGCGCAGTTTAGAAACGTTGTCTCTTTTGAAATGTAGTGTTCTTGTACTACTCTCTTACCTTTTCCTATGATTTATGCTGAATGTAGTTACTCTGTGATTGTGATTTCCTAAGGTATCCATTATTTCTACATCTGCAGTCAGATTTGTGTTGTTTTTAATAAGCAGATCTACCAGAGCATTATTTCTAGTTGGGGCATCCAACAATTGACACATGGATTATTAAGAAATGTTTTAAAGTTTTAAAACAGAAGGGTAAAGAATGGGATTTACTTAACTACTTGACGATTGCAGATAGCCGAATGATGGCTACACTGCGGCTGGCCAGTTCTGGGAGGGCGTCATATGTTGTCCTCCCAGAACGCGCTCTCCTGCGGGCCCCCCGGCGATCTCCGTGATCACATGATGTGGTAAAAGGCCAATGACACGCTGATCACCGGGGAAATGCAATTGCTGGTTCTCGGCTGCACTTTCCTCATGCTGTCAGAGCGCGAGGAAAGTACTGCCGAGAACCGGCAGTTGTCAGAGCAGGGATCGGCACTGATCATCAGGGCACTGATGATCAGTGCCCTGATTATCGGTGCCCAGCAGTGCCATCCACCAGTTCCGCCCACCTGTGCCCAGCAGTGCACCCACCTGTGCCACTCAGCAGTGGAACCACCTGTGCCACCCAGCAGTGCACCCACCTGTGCCACCCAGCAGTGCACCCACCTGTGCCCACCAGTGCCACCCACCTGTGCCCATCAGTGCAGCCCAGCAGTGCTGCCAGTCAGTGCCCAGCGGTTGTGCCAGTTAGTGCCCAGCAGTTGCGCCAATCAATGCCCAGCAGTGATGCCAGTCAGTGCCACCTATCAGTGCTGTCTATCAGTGCCACCTATCAGTGCTGTCTATCAGTGCCACCTATCAGTGCCGCGTATCCGTGACACCTCATTAGTGCTGCCTTATTAGTGCCGCCTATCAGTGCTGCCTATCAGTGCCCACCAGTGCTGCCTATCAGTGCCCATCAGTGCTGCCTCATCAATGCACATCAGTGAAGAAGAAAAATTACCTGTTTGAAAAATTTTATAATAGAAACAAAAGAAACTTTTTTTTTTTTCAAATAGTTTACATTTTTTTTGTTTATAGCGCAAAAAGTAAAGTGCCCAGCGGTGATTAAATACCACCAAATAAAAGCTCTATTTGTGAGAAAAAAAAATGATAAAAATTTCATATGGGTACAATCTTGCAGAACCGCACAATTGTCAATCAAATTGCGACAGCGCTGAAAGCTGAAAATTGGCCTGGTAAAGAAGAGGGTATAAGTGCCCAGCAGGCAAGTGGTTAATAATTATGAAACACAATTATAATCATAATAATAATGGCTAAAAAAAGAAGTTTTAAACTTTGAAAATGTTAGTGACCCCTTACATTAATGGTAAGCGTAAGCAGGTCATTCTGCCACTGCTCTGTTCTGAAGGAACGCCTATAAACCTCTGAAGTAATGCCAGGGTTTTGTAGAACCCCGGTTGGGAATGGCAGGTCTAAATGATAGAGGCATATTTATAAATATGACATTCACTAAACAGTCATTGCAGATGACTCAATCAGAGAAAAAAAAAAACACATGAAGCAGGAAGAGACACATGCAGTGAAAATGTAAAAAATGTCACATTCACGGCTTTACAAATAAGCCCCCATATTTTATTACAGTAATAAAATGCACACCTTGGTAAGCAAAGAAGGCCATTCACAGATTGCATGTGACCATTCCAAAGATTTCTAAAATACATGATCTTTCTCACTATCTATTAAGAGATGATATAGAATATGGACTGGAATACAGAATGATAAAACCAGACAAGTCTGTATCTGTATAGATAGTAGAATAAGATGCTACTTTCCAATTGCATTTATAAAAATATGTAATAGTTTGTTTTTTTAATCAACATACATCCTTTGCATAACATATATTTTGATAATAAAGAAATAAAGAAAATCTAACATTGTATCAAAGTAAGAAAATCAATACACACCACTAACCAGCAGGGGGAGCTCACTGTATAGAAAAAATTGTTATTTTGACAATGTAACAAGCTTTTTGCAAATGTAACACAAATGTAACACAAGCTGTTAGGTGATTAACACCTAAAAATATGCCCCTAGCTGGCATTCATACCCTATTCTCTTTAGAGTGCACTCAGATGGAATGTGGCTTGAGAATAGCAGTGTCCGGCTACATGAATGCTTTGAAGGAAAGGAATATTTTACTATTAAATACAAACAGAATTGAGATTTAGCCATGGTTCCCACTAGTGAGGTGTGTTTGCGTGCACACATTGCAAATACAGCAGCCTGTTCATTTGAATGGGCAGCTGTACCCGCTAGAAATGCAGGGAAAGAAGTCTCCAACATTTAAATTGCACTGCAGCTAACTGTGCAATATTGTGTGTATAGAATGCATTAAGGTAAAAAAAAAAAACAAAAAACTTTTGAGTTCAGAACTACTTTAATCTTTTTCCTCCTTTTAACCACTTGCCCTCCAGAGGATTTACCCCCCTTCCTGACCAGGCCATTTTTTGCGTTACGGCGCTACGTTATTTTAACTGACAATTGCTTGCACATGTAATGCTGCACCCAAATTAAATTTATGTCCTTTTTTTCCCACGAATTGAGATTTCTTTCAGTGGTATTTGATCACCCATGCATTTTTTATTATTTGCACTATAAAAAAAAAAAAAAAAAAAAAAAAAAAAAAAAAAAAAAGGACCGACAATTTTCAGAAAAAAACCAAAAATTTTTGACTTTTTGCTATTAAACATAAATTTAGGCCAAAATGTATTCTGCTACACGTCTTTGCTAAAACAAAATCCCAATGCGTGTAAATTAATTGGTTTACGTGAAAGTTATAGTGTTTACAAATGGCGGTGTATATACTCAGATTTTTTTTTTGTACTAGTATTGGCGGGCAATCAGTGACTTATGGCGGGACTGCGGCAGGCATTTTGACACTGTGGGGAACTGACTTGGCGTCACTGACATCCCCAGTGACACCAATACAGTGATCAGTGCCAATAAAAAGCACTGACACTTTACTAATGGCACTGGGCAGGAAAGGTTTAACATGTGGGGTGATCAAAGGGTTAACTGTGTGCTGTGTAACTGCTTTCAACTATAAGCACACTGCTTTGCATGGCTCTGCTATGCAGAGCCATGCAAAGCAGTGTGCAGGAGCTGACAGGGGAGTGAACTGTATTGTGTACATACAGTTCTCACCCTCCATCGGTAATGCTTGGCAATCACCTGGTGCTGGCGAGTTATCACCGTCCGGAACCCAGAGACTGGTAGCCGAGGCCACGAATAGTGGTGCGGGTAGAGCTCGAGAGCGCCCCCTACCTGGAAATGCAAAATCACATATATTATACACGTGATTTTGCGCACCCCTCCCAGCCTGTAGCAGTATATCTGCTATAGGGCGGGCGGGAAAGTGGTTAATGAAATTTGATTGGTCACTGCACTGTTCACATATTAACTACACATTGAACAGCCTTACTAAGGGCTCATTTACATACAGTGCAAGTATCCAAGTGTATTGGATAAGCATCAGTCACTGCTAGGGTGCCTAGGAAACAATTGTTTGCCCCTGAATTACACAGCAACACAGCCAGGAGATATAGTGAGACATGAAACATGTATGTAGTATTTTACCACAGCACACTGGATGCAGAGCAGGTCACCAAACGACAGCAGTCAGTTTGTGACCAGTCAAAGTCAGAAGAAAAAAAAAAAAGATCTGCTGAAAATGCACACCACACTACAGCCTTTTGTCCTTGAACACACAGCGGCATGCATGCCAAAATTGAGAGTTTTTGAAAGTTGTAACGTATGAACGTAGCCTAAATTAACCCCTTCACACCTAAGGGTAAAACAAATCTAAATGCCTAAGTACAATTTTGCAACGTTGACATTTGTTAGTAAAAACCGTACATATCATCACAACTACTTTGTACATCCAGGTGGATTATACCTTGTTTTTTTTTCAGGACAAATTGGGCTTTCATTTGATGGTAAACGGTAATGGATGTCTCCTGATTTTTTTTTATTATCAAAGGAAAACTGGCCCAAAACAGTAAAAAAAAACAAAAAACATTTTTTTAAATTTAGCTGTGTGTTTCTTGTTACTACCATAACCTACCACCAAAGAACAACCCAAAATAAATTCTCCAGCTCTTGACGATCGCAGCGATGCCATATATGTGTATGTTATTTGTTGTTTGTACCCATAGTACAGCCCAGAAACAATAGTGAGCATTTTGTTTTTTTTTTTTTTTTTACTTAAAACACACCGACACTGATACCAATCTAAAAAAAAAAAAAAACTGACCTTTTACCCTGACCTTTTACCCTGACCTTGACCTTTGACCCTGACCTTAACCCAAACACTAACCCTGGCACTGAACTAGATCAATCCTTGATCTAGGTATTTTTTCTTTTTATTTTTTATATCTTTTTTTTTAACAAACTTTTTTTGTTTCTCCCTCCATTCAAGGAGTTAGAGATACAATGTATCTCTCTCCTCCATTCATAGACAAAAAACCCCCCAAAAAACAAGGGGGGCGAGCTATAAAGTGACTGATCACTGTGATAGCCAATCAGAGGCAGAGATCACAGCAATTAGGAGTTCCGGGTCCCGATCTTTAGAATGAGACCCGGCACTCTCGGTGACACCCCATGCTGTGCGGTGCTGTCCCAGCAGAAAGACAGGTACGCAAGTTGTGGCCCCACGGAAAAAAGCCCAGTTGTGTGAGGCCACATATTTGTGTGACATCGGCGCAAAGGGGTTAATGTACATCTTGTCTGCAAAATATTGCATACTGCTTCAGATTCTCTAGGCCAGTGATCTGTGGTCTCCTAAACTGCTGTGAAACCAAAAGCATATCTCTCCAAATCCAATTCCTGGTAGGGGTTTTTGGTTTATAGCTCCAGACTGAACAGGACACCGCTATCTATTCAACATGTCATTCTGTTTACTCTTGTTGCTTAAACAGCACCTGGAAAATCAGACCTCCTCCCTTGGCATACTTTTCAGACATGACTGAAGCCATCTTTCATACTGCCTAATAAACACAGGCCAAGAAAAACCATTCCATGTGACTAAGCTGGCATACTGTTTGGGAAGCACAGTACAATAACATATAATGTTGCTGTGATGTCTCGCTGCTTAGCAAAACTCCTAAACACTGACTCTAGACTTGATTCATAGAAGAGGCTCTCCTTTTGGGAAAGAATAATATAAACAGAATCTTTTTATACAGCACTGGACATGAGTACATGAAAGCACATTGCCTTTTTCTATTCCCTCTCTCCATCTGTCTACTAACACTGTGCCGTCAGCTGACAATTCTCTATAGAAGAGACTCCCACTGATCGATGGGGAGAGCCAATATTGGGCCGCAAAGCAGCTCCCTTGATTGGAGGGCAGCCCAGAACATGCTCTTAGTGATCAACAACACTTGCTCAAGGCTGTAAAAATGCTTTTGGTGGGTACACTCTGATCAGCAATATCGACAGGCTTTCCAAATTCTTCATACAACACATGAACACAATGAAACTGAAGATTTCATTTGTACTGAAAGAACACTGAAAAAGGTCATTTCAGACCTTACATCTATTTCATGCTTTCAAATCCTAGATTGTAAGCTCGAAAGAGCAGGGCCCTTGAACCCCTTGTGTATTGTATTGTATTGTCTCATGTTCTGTCCCCCTCGCTATTGTATAGCGCTGAGCAAACCCTTTGGCGCTATATAAATACTGTATTATAATAATAATAAATAAAGCTGTAGCTTTCTAAGGGCACTAAGGGGTTTACATACTAAAGCTGGAGAATGCAAAATCAGGCTCACTTCTGTATACAAACCAAATCAGCTTTCAGGTTTTTATTGCCAAAGCTTAAATCAAACAAGATGATTGGTTTATATGCCTGATTTTATACTTTCCAGCTTTAGTAAATAAACCCCCCTCAGTGTCCTTGCTCATGAAGACCTTTGGTAATCTTTACTACACAGAAATTAATCTTGGGGCATGTTTGATACAACCAGGCCATCAATGTTGGAAAGTTAAGAAGGGGTATTGAAAATTTAAAGGCCTGTAGAAAGAAAAGTTGGTTTAATAGTACACAGAAGTTGACCAATATGGCATCCACTTGCCAAACATATGGTGCAATACTTCGTGCATTGCATTCCCCAATGAGAATATACATTTTTCCCATGTTGATTCCTGCTATGAAAAGCTCTCAGTGACAAAAGAAAATAAAAGTACATAAGAAATATTTGTGTACTTTCCTAGGCATTGTGTGCATTGTAATCAGGGGCAGACTGACCATTTAGGCACTCTGGCACTGCCCGAGGGCCCAGGGTCAGTAGGGGGCCCCATGAGATGTCCCTGGTACCTTTCATAGGCTTTTTTTGGGTGTGGTTTGAGTGTGGGCAAGGACACAGGGGCCCTATGATATCCTATTGCTCGGGGGCCCCAAAAACTCACGGGGGCCCCATGAGTTGTCAGTCCACCCCTGGTTGTAATACAGTAGTGCTTTAGCCCTGGTTCACAGCTCCAAATCGCATGACAAGTCGTACCTCATTGCCAGCAATGAAACCATTCATATCCCTGCAAATCATGTCACATCGATTATGAAATGGATTCCTGCACAGAGTTTGGTTTTATGAAGTTGCAGGCCGCAATGAAATCGGCAGTGCAAATTGCACTGATATGCAGGTCTGAAATCGCGCGATTTTAAAGCTGCACCAGTGTGAACCGGGTCTTAATCTCCTCATCATAAAGACAATCACTTCCACGTTAGATGTCACACTTACCTGTGCACAAGCCTGCACTGCCCCCGGAACCTGATAAGGCAATTCCTTGGCTGTTTTGTGAGATTTTGGCAGAAGGAAAGGGTAGGAAAGAGACCGATACTTTGGCTTCATGATCTAGGATAAAAGAACATATAGCATAAATCTAAATTCTAGGAGGCCTAGACAAAATAATAAAGGTACAATGTAAAACGAGAACAGAAGAAATGATCCAGTTAAGCAGATTGATCAACAACCTTTGTGAAATTCCATCTCTGAATAAAATGTCTTGCCACATCACGAGCTGCTTTCCCATGTACCACAGAAGAAATGTCATGCCAGGGCATTCTGGGTGTTTGGTATCGGTCAATGAAGTCTAAATAAAAAGGAAAAATTAGAATGAGTTATATTTACAAAGAGCAGTATAATGATTAGAACAAGATCCAGATTTTTTTTCTTTACATAAACATTACATATTGAGATAACAATGACTTGGGCACCAAAACAGGATTTTTTTTGTTACTATAAAATCCAAGTTCATTGATGAACACAGCATCTTTTATTCTCAAACATAGGGTTATATTGCCACCTACAGGAGTAGGACACCATGGACGAGATTAGAAGATGCTGTTTTTATCAGTGAACATAGGAGAAAGAGAATTTTTTTGTTATAGCATCTTCTATTCTCGACTATAGTGTCCTACTCCTGTAGGTGGCGATATAACCCTATAGTCGAGAATAGAAGATGCTGTGTCCATCAATGAACATAAGAGAAAACATGTTTTCAGACAAAAAAGATAGTTTAAAATAAACTTGTGCTCATGTTACAGCAAATAATATAGGCTTGAGGTACCTACTGTCAGATGGCTTCCTAGGAGCCTTGAAAACCAAAAAGAGCTCAGTTCTGCCAACACCATAATTAGATCCAGAAGCTTTGACCCCCTTTCTTACCTCGTACTTCACTTTTTACTATGATGGAGTAGATTCACTGACAAGCATTGAGCTATACTAGGTACTGGGACTGAACTACATCTGCTAATGAGGGTTTTTGTATAGCTGAAAGCCCCTGGTTTAGGGGGATCCAAGGTGCTTTGGATGCCATCTATGTCTAGGCACCTCTAGGTGAGCATTCTGCATCTCCTGATTGCTCACATTCACACTGGCACTCTTACATTTAGCTTTTCTAAATGCAAATGTCACCTGAGATGTAAAAAAATGTTTATGCCTCCCAGATCACCTTTTCTTGCACTTAGTTAAGACATGTTTAGATGTGCTTAGCTGTGTTTAGTCTCTAATTGGATCTTGAACACAGATAATTCTATTTTCTCTAAACGTAGCTAAGCTGACCTCAACCAAAGGCAGGTAAACGTTTGTTGTGAATGATACCATTAAAAAAATCATTCCATGCATTTATATGTGAATAGAAATGTCCCATCAATAAAAATTGTTTTTGGAAGAAAAAAAGAAAAATGTCCCATGAAAGACATAAATGCAGGTTAAATTCTCCCAGTGAAAATGAGGCCATCGACTACTTTGTTATTGTTTTTTGTTTCCAAAAAAAGCTTTAGCATAGTTGCAATGTACCGACTATTCAAAACAAGGTATAATAAAAAACATACATCGATGCAAGCTAGGAACTACTGTTTTATGCACTTATTTTTTATAACATCACAGTGACAAAGTAAGAAAAAAAAAGCCTTTCAGATTTACACATTTATATCATGCTTAAACATGAAAACACCAACACAGTATTATATATATTCATATTATTTACTCTGGGTACCATAGTTAGACAGTTCATTTAATATTCATCAACATTTTTTCCTAACAAAACTGCACTCTGTTATGGAGATTTTCATTCTTTGGTTTTGAACCAGTAACATACCATCAAAGGGTTTATCCAGCTGCACCCAGTCTTTAAACACAAAGTTGCAGTAGTCTTTCCCATGCCAGAATCTGGTTTCACCAAGAAGTTCTCCCACACCTGTCTGTAGGCTTCGCACAGATCCCCTGTCTGGAACAAGCAGAACATGTGCAAAAGTCAGCATGAGCACAACACTCAAATATAGCCTGATATAATGTGAACTGTTTTCTAACATAGAATCGGTAACAATCAACTAGCTGAGCTGGGGTTGTTTTTCTGATTCCAACCATAGATCAGTTTTTATCTCATAATATAGAGTATCTGGATATAAGGCCTCATGCACACAGGACATTTTCTCCTAGAAGCCTTTCCTCCTTGCAGCGGCGTTTTAGCAAAAAAAAAACCTGACGCTTGTGCAACGTCAAATGTTTGGGCGTTAATTTCAAAGGCCAGAATAAATTATTTATTCTGGCCAATGAAATTAATTAATGGTCAACTGCTAAATGTGTACACGTTTAAAAAAGTGGCAAAACTGAGTTTTTTTTTTTTCCTGCCTCTGGACTCTCCTCTCACTTATGTCCTCTAAAAATGTTTGTGTGTGCATGGATACATAGGCTAACATGCAGGGGAGGAAAAAATATTAAAAACACGCAAGACGCCCCTAGAAGCAGCTGTAATGAGGCCAGTGTGCATGAGGCCTAGAAGTTTCTAACTAAACTGACCCTGGTCTTTGTATTCATATGACTAAGGAAAGCACATTACATGCCTACTGCCTAACACAACTAACACACTAACAGATCTGGCCAAAGCTGGCTATACACTGTGAGTTTAAGCCAGTTTCTGAGGAACTGGGTGAAATTCACTCATTGGGTGGCCCTGCTGATCCAGCTACATTTGAGAAAAAATCAATAGAATTTTGTCGAAGGAGCCTGCTGGTAAATTTTCGGCCAAACAGCAGCTGCATCCAATTAGATGCAGCCGGAGTTTGAGTAATTTGACAGGTGGCAGGCTGACTGTTAAAACACAATAGCCACACAACAGGAGATTCCTTCAAGGAATGGCTGGATGGACACATAAACTGTGACTATAATTATATTATGGAATATAAATTTTACACACTTACCAAACTAAAATAAGTACACATGCACACCCAATTTCACCATATTAACATCTACATAGCCTTAAAGCCATGTTTTTCATGGACTTTAGAGTGTGGAGCTTTGTGCACCTTTTGAACTTACGACCAGGCAAACCCCAAATGCTGGCTTGTTAGAAGTGTATTGAGCTGAACAGTTGAGCTGACACCTTCACATCCATTAGATGTAGCCTCACATCAATATATATTTCTTTCCACTTGCAAGACAGAATGGATGTATGGATAAAACACCTGGACAAATGTGTACTGATATGTACACTTAATTCTTGGGAGCAGACTAGTCACCATCACACCCATAGACAACAGACTCTCCGCTCCATCCCTTCCTCAGTGTTTGCCAACTGGAAGATTTGGAGAGTTCTGGGAATAAACAGACGTGTCCCTTGATCACTACCCACTTCAAAGCCAGTGGTCCTCAACTCAATTCCCCAAAAGAGAGCATTGTTTTCTGTCTCCTCAGAAACACACAGATTTTCCTTAGGAGCCCTTACACATTTTAAACCCATTATGTGAAATTTTAACATTTTCAAAATCCTGGTCAGATCTGAGAAAAATTGAAGAATTTGTGTCATCGTTAAGCAATTTGTTTCCAAGTGATCTTTTAGAGCATAGAACACTGATGAAAAGGGTAAGGAGACTTTCCCACAAAATATCATTAGCATTTGGCCCGATCCAGTATGTAGGTGTAGCTCTTTACACCACCTCCAAGGCCCATAGCACTAGTTACATACCTTCCCTGTCTTCTTTATCCAACGTCCACACCAACATAATTCAGCCCCATGCAATTCTATAGGGCTGGTAGACAAAATGACTACTATTTACATTCTAGCCACATCAAAGTCTATGAGTCGGAACTGTGCTGCTGTAGATGTCAGATCATGAAGCTGGAGGAGGGATGTAAAAGTGCCCTGGGCCTTACATTGAGATCTGGGTAAGTAAGTATATTTTATTTTTGGGGGGGCTAGACCTATTTAATGAAGCAGGGGCAAAAGAGTTAGGAAAACATGTGGGAAAGCTTCCCTATCTTATAGACCTCATGCACATGGGAAGAAAAAGCACCACTTTTAAAGGATTTTTTCCTGCCTTTAAATGCAGCTTAATTTTAGACAATGTACAACGGGGCATTCAGATTTGTATTTGAGAGCAGCATTCTGGGACATTAAAAGAAAAAAAAAAGAAAGAAAAAAAAAAAGGAGGAGAGGAGCTTATTGGCATACTTTGTACAAATAAGCACACAAATGTATTCCAGTGGCAAGAATACATGTATAATATGGGCAGCAGAAATAATTTATGCTCATGCATTTCTAAATGTTATATGCCTGTAAACATGAATAAATGTTTATAACTATGTGTCAAAACTAGCTGTTTTTATGTTTGATTTTTCTGACAGTTCCTGACAGAAAGATCCAGCGCAGGGAGGAGTATTTTAATACAGCCATGTTCACATTCTTAAAAACGGGTTTTTGTTATGTGTTTCCATTCACACAGCACATTACTATCTAGCAGAAACAAAAGTATTGATTTGTATGGTAATTTAACTACTTGCCGACCGCAGATAGCCGAATGATGGCTACACTGCGGCCGGCCAGTTCTGGGAGGGCGTCATATGCCGTCCTCCCAGAACGCACTCGGGGGCGCGCACCCAGCGATTTCAGTGATCGCTGTGTCCTACGGACACAGCTGATCACGTGATGTGGTAAAAGGCCAATCACAGCGGCCTTTTACCACGTGATCAGCCATGTCCAATGACACGCTGATCACCGGGAAATGCAATTGCCGGTTCTCGGCTGCACTTTCCTCATGCTGTCAGAGCGTGAGGAAAGTACTGCCGAGAACCGGCAGTTGTCAGAGCAGGGATCGGCACCGATCATCAGGGCACTGATGATCAGTGCCCTGATGATCGGAGCCCAGCACTGCCACCCACCAGTTCCGCCCACCTGTGCCCAGCAGTGCACCCACCTGTGCCCAGCAGTGCACCCACCTGTGCCACCAACCAGTGCCACACACCTGTGCTCAGAAGTGCCACCTACCTGTGCCCAGCAGTGCCACCCACCTGTGCCCAGCAGTTCCGCCCATCAGTGCAGCCCAGCAGTGCCGCCAGTCAGTGCAACCAGTCAGTGCCCAGCGGTTGCGCCAGTCAGTGCCCAGCGGTTGCGCCAGTCAGTGCCCAGCGGTTGCACCAGTCAGTGCCCAGCAGTTGTGCCAGCCACTGCCTAGCAGTGCCGCCAGTCAGTGCCCAGCAGTGATGCAAGTCAGTGCCACCTATCAGCGCTGTCTATCAGTGCCACCTATCTGTGCCACCTCATTAGTGCTGCCTATCAGTGCCGCCTATCAGTGCCCATCAGTGCTGCCTATCAGTGCCCATCAGTGCTGCCTATCAGTGCCGCCTCATCAACGCACATCAGTGAAGGAGAAAAATTACATGTTTGAAAAATTTTATAATAGAAACAAAGAAACTTTTTTTTCTTCAAATTTTTTGCACTTTTTTTGTTTATAGCGCAAAAAGTAAAGTGCCCAGCGGCGATTAAATACCACCAAAAGAAAGCTCTATTTGTGAGAAAAAAATGATAATTTCATATGGGTACAATCTTGCATGACCGCGCAATTGTCAAAGTGCGACAACGCTGAAAGCTGAAAATTGGCCTGGTAAAGAAGGGGGTAAAGGGGCCGGTAGGCAAGTGGTTAAAGAGATCTGGCTATTCATTAAAACTCAGGAGAGGTAGCATTTCTTTACACATCAAAATTTACAAAAATTAGTTCCGCTTTAAATACATTACAATGTGAATAAGGTTCAGGAGGGCAGTATTTTCAATATGTCACAAAGTTAAAGAACGCCAAGACGTGGCTTCAAACTAGCTGGTGAAAAGTTTATAAATCAGCGTTAGAAAGTATTTTATCCAAAGATTGCCTGGAACAAACTTTCAGCTAAGGTAGAAAGTCAACAGTAAATGTATTGTGATAAACATATATCTATAAAGGTTTTTTACAGTAAGAATTAAAAAAAAAAAAAAAAAAAAAAAAAAAAAGGACAAATTATGGACATATTTTTTTATATCATTCTTCAATGTTTCTATGTACCAAGAGACATTTAAAGCAGTAATGCCCAGCCTTGGTCCACAAGGCTTCTGAAAACTGTACTTTTAAAAACGTACTGTAGATTGGACGGTATAAAATCTAGTAGTAAGAGAAAGCAAATAGATGTCACAGATAATTAGTCACAGTAATACTGTGTCATTAAATGAACAACAGTAAGTCAAATTGTTCAATAACAAGACCGTGATGATCAGCCAACACTAATATGTTAAAACTGCTTACACGAAAAGAAGTGGCATTAACTTGGAGCCAAATTACAGGGTATTAAATGAGAGCCAGCGCTAAAAGAAATACCACAAACCTTGGAGTGTTTACAACAGCATATGAAGCATGATATTTATACCAAACTAAACACCACAGGGCAAATGGGATGTAGTTATGTTATGTTATCCTGGCACAAATCTACAAGTTCAGTCCATTGCATCATTACAACAATTGCAGCTTTCTTCAGTTCAAAGCAACTTGTAAAATAAAGCTGGTCATAGATGACATTTTTTTTTGTTTCTCGATCAGCCCAAGAAAAAAACAAAAAAACAAAACAACAACATAACCAACAGATTCCCCAATCCAAGCAAGGTGGATTAGGACTCCTTCGCTATCAAGATACACTTGATCAGCAGACATTTTCCAACAAGTCTATTATGACACAAATCAATCGTCAGATCAATTTCTTTCAAGCAGAAGCAGCCACACACGGATCAAAATTTGTCCAGTCCCCATTGAACCGGTTGAATTTTGATCCATCGATGACCAGCTTAAAGCGCATGTACAGTCATGGCCAAAATTATTGGCACCCCTGCATTTCTGTCAGATAATGCACAACTTCGCCCAGAAAACTGGTGCAATTACAAATGTTTAGGCATTTTCATGTTCATTTCTTTTTGCTTTTCTACTTTTTTTTGTGTCACACCAATACAAACAAAAGAAATAAAAATGAGAATGCCTAAACATTTGTAATTGCTCCTTTGTAGTAGTTTAATATTCCGTTGGTTCAACCCAACCCTTTATGTGCTCCACCAAAAAGATGTGACTGGCTTGTCTCTAAAGAGCTGCAGCTATCCAAGGGAATCCTGATCATTACCTAACCTCAATGATCTTGGCAAGATAATCGAGCAATCATCAACTCCTGGATTACCTGGTCCTCTCCCACTGGAGCACTTCCTGCAGTAAAACATAAATATACATATTTACCTTTTTACAGGTGTGTCCTGTCCCGTGCACAACACAAGCGATGTTGGAGGGATCTCCTTCAATATGGTACTGTATTTTGACAGTGGGTAACACAACCCATTGCCTGGAAGTCCTACTGATGGTTTTCCAGGGGGACTGTTAGACCAGCTTCTGTTGAACAGACAGTGATACACACATACCAAAAGTCAATCAGTTCCTGTTGAATTGGACTACTTGTGGTATGTGTATACCCAGCTTACATTTGAACTTTTATCCCTATAGACTGTAAGATCTTATAAGAAATGTCTCCCATTCCTTCTAATTTGTTTCTAATGCTGTAAAGTACAGTATGTAATCAACACATGACTATCTGCTGATCAATCAAAACATTTGTGTTATTGACCTTGCACTTTACTAATTTTTGTACACTGCCACAGGGGATGATGTTGTACTTTTAATCATTAACAACGGGAATAATAATAACTGTCCCACTCATTCATATTCAGTGGTCCTTCTTCTAGCCAGCTATAACTGAAGAATAACAAAACATCTCAGAAAAAGGTCACAGGCATAGGAGACAGAAATGGAAACCTAACATATGTCATGTATACCAGCAAATGAAAACAATTAATTATTAGGTGTGCCACCCTTGCTTTAGGCCCCTTTCACAAGAGCAGACTGATGGGGTCCACCTGTTCGTTTTTCAAGTGGACCCGATCGATCAATCTATCCATAGACTTCTATGGACCGGCGGGTGCCCATCCATAAGGGGAAGCGCCACTTGTCTGCCTCCTGCCCCCCTCCGCTGACACATTTTGGCACCTCCTCTGCAAAGGCTTCACTGATGATTTCTCTTGGTCAAGATGGCAGCGTCAGCACCCGATAGTCAAATGAAGAATCAGCAGTTTCCCAGGGCAACTTTTCCACATGAATTGCATATTTTGTTTCAAACAGACACCACTGGATGCCTGGACAGGTAAGTGCCCCAATATTTAAAAGTCAGCATCTACAGTATTTGCAGCTGCTGACTTTTCTTTTTTCTTGGGCAATTCCTCTTTAACCACTAAAATCTAATATAAAAGTTAACATGTTAACGTAGTTTGAAAAGTACAATCTTTTAGGAAATAACTAGTGATCCTGCCACGAAGGCCCTTGTTAACCACTTGCCTATCGGGCACATTTCCCCCCTTCCTGCACAGACCAATTAGACAAATAGAGCTTTCTTTTGGTGGTATTTAATCACCAATGGGTTTTTTATTTTTTGCTAAACAAACTAAAAAAGTCCAAACATTTAGAAAAAAAAAAAAAAAAAAAAAAGTTTTTTAGTTTCTGTTATAAAGTTTTGTAAATAAGTACTTTTTCTCCTTCACTGATAGGCTGCACTGCTGGGCACTGTTATGCAGCACTGATGCGTACTACTGGCAGCACTGATGGGGCTACACTGATCACCAGGATACTGATGATCAGTGCCCTGATGATTTGTGTAGATGCCCCCCTGTGAAATGACGCTTACCGGCGCGGCTCACCTCTCGCGCTGTCAGCGTAAGAAGAGGACAGCCAATAATGGACACAGCTGCTCACATGGTAAAAGCAACTCTGATTGGCCCATTCACAGATTGCACGCAGTGCGCCTCCGGGTGTGTGCTTCTGGGAGGACGTCCATGGATGCCATCCCAGAACTAGCTAATTGCGCTGTAGCTGTCTTTTGGCTAAAGCGCAGTCAGAAACTAGTTAAAAGTGGAATATAAGCCCCCAAAAGCAAAACATTTATTATACTGCAGTTTACCATTTCTTAGATAGCTGCATTCACTTTCTTTTTAGGCTTTCTTCTATTTTCATCTGGTGGCCCAGCTAGTAAGTCTGTTTTTCAAAAGAACAAGCTCTCCAGCAGAATATTACAATTACAGAGATGAGCAAAACCATTTAACACAGAGAGGGGTGCTTAGAAAAGAAAACTAATGCAGCCACCACATCAAAGGACTGGTAAACCATAATATATTACATTTTTGGTTTTGGGTTTAACACCACTTTAAGGCAATTAATGTTATAAGGTGACAACTGTCCCACTCATGCTCCAGCATTGCCAACTGGTCACAACAAGACTTTAAGTGGTCATACCTACACTTTTTTAGAAAGTCAGTCCTGGCCAATAATGTGTAGCCACTGCTGGAGCAAGTGTATATAAGCAGAAATGGCTGAAAAAGGCTGAATGAAATTAGCAGCACTGAGGTGAAAACCAGATTTTATAAAAAGAAAAAAGCAATAGTTTTTTTGATACACAATGATTTAGCAAATGAAAAATGTTCACTTGGGGTTTAGACATATTTTAAACGTTATTTCAAACACAATCCTTTATTAACTGATGACTAGCACTAGGTATTTATAGGAAAATTCACCATTTAGTGTAAAAGGACCTTTGTTCTGCAAAAGCTGGTGTTGATTCCCTGACCCAGATATGACTCACTGCTATGCTGATAACTTCACTCTACATTTTTATGGTTGAACCTTTGTTTATTCAAGTTTACAACCTATACTATTCCAGGAGGTATTAAAAGAGTGCAATGAATAAATGAAAAGGCACATTAGTGTACACACATTTCAAACGTTTGGTGACATTCTGATGTTGTTACAAAATACATATCTCAGAATCGGATAAACCTGAAATTATGATTCAGTTCAAATTAACGCTGTGCCCTCAAAGGTGTAGTTTAAGCACCACATTGCTGTGAAGGAAGTTGTATAAAAATAAATAAATTATCACACACACACACCTCAAAAAAATTGAAGGAAAACTTTTTAATCAGAGTACAGCATCGAGTCAATTAAACTCCTGGGTTATTGATCTGGTCAGTTAAGTAGCAGAGAGGTAGTTTAAACAGTTATTTGACTAGGGTCAGTGTCACTACTGGTAGCATGAGGCTATACCTGGACCCTACAGAGGTTGCACAGGCAGTCCAACTCCTCCAGGATGGCACATCAATACTTGCCATTGCCAGAAGGTTTGCTGTGTCTCCCGGCACAGTCTCAAGAGCATGAAGGAGATTCCAGGAGGCAGGCAGTTACACTAGGAGAACTGGACAGGGCCATAGAAGGTCCTTAAACCATCAGCAGGACCTGTATCTGCCCCTTTGTGCAAGGAGGAACAGGATGAGCACTGCCAGAGCCCTACAGAATGACCTCCAGCAGGCCACTGGTGTGAATGTCTCTGACCAACACAATAAATCATCAGAAGCTGTAAAGGAGAACCTCCACAGTGGGTAGTGGAGTTTTCATGTAGAGCATAAAAAGTTTCCCGGGGCAGCTTTTCCATATGAATTGTATATTTTGTTTCAAATAGACACCACTGCATACGTTTAGATTGTAGTTCAATGAGCGAAGGAGTCTCAGCTTTGTATTATTTTCTTTTTTTGGACGAAAAAAAAAAAATTGGAAACTTGTGCGACTTGTCATGTGACTTTGGACACTAAAGTCACATGACAAGTCGCACCCCATGTTTTCCAATCAGTACCATTCATATCTATGTGATGTAAAGTCGCAGCGACTTCAAAGTAGTTCATGCACTACTTTGGTCCGACTTTCATGCAACTTGAGGTCCATAGACTTCAATGTTAACCCTCAAAAGTCATATGAAAGTGACTGTTATTTATGTGAGTGCAATTTTAAATAACTCATTTGTGGTTTTAAGTTACTACACTATGGTGGCTTCTCTGTGGGTTTGAGTTGATCTATAGAGCAGCACAGCGGAAGTCAGAGGATATTGAGAGCCCATGCCATCAGTGAAATAACAAGGTAACCTGAGACCAGTGGGAAACCTATACACAATGACCCCGAAAGGAGGAGAAATGTGCTTTGAATTATAATTTGTACGTCAATGTTCTGAGGTGTGAGTCCACCTATTCAGCACCTGGGTGGTGGTGCACATTGATGTATTGACAGCATCAGGATTGTGGGATCACTTCACCAACAGGTGTCCACATTTATTCTCACTAAGAAGAGCTGTTTTTCTTGGAACTGTTCCAAAACATATATACTGAAGATAGTTAAATATAGAAGGGAACACCAAAATTCTTTGTCTGCAAATGTGCAGACTATAAATACATAGGACATGTCACCACTCACATGTTTACTAAAATATACTGCATGGTGAAAACAAAATCTATAGAACATAATGACAAATACTTACGGGATTGGCTGTCTATACTGCTGACGCTATCTGCATGTTGCAGGTTGTGCTTGTGGAGCTGCTTGTACAGGCTGAATTTACCAAATTTTCTGGATTTTCCCATTCCTCGTATCTTGGAGTGATCTACTACCTCTTCCCCATGCCTACTCTTTACTTGGAAGTTGGTCTTTCTCTCAGATTTGTCTTCACCATTCAAGGTATGGCTGGAATCTGACAGGGCGAGAACACAGAAGGTTTACTCACTTCACAGAAAGGACTATTTTACTTAAACCAGACCAGTCATCAAACCAAAAGCACAACCAGTATGCAATGTCATATATTTAAAGATTTTTGATGACTCAAAGCCTCGTTCACAACGGTGTAACTATAGTGTATGCCCTAGCAGTGGCATTCATTTCAACTGGGACATAGCAGCTGCACAGACACAGCTGCTGCTCCCAATTTTACAGCCATATGAGTGTGCAGCCCTGAATGCAGTGTGCAAATTGGGGGCAGTGTTGTGCCCATGCAGCCACTGCGTCCCAAATGAAATGAATGGACGGCCTGCTCAGGGATGCTTTGAACACCTGTGTATCCCTGTGTGGGCAAACACAGTCCTCACACGGGCATGCGCAATAGTACTCCTGTGTGTACAAAGCTGAACTCAAAACTTAAGATGATTGATGTTGCAGCCACATGGTATCCAGGACCACTGCTGATATTCCTGGCAAAAGTCTGTCAGAAAATCAAGCTACCAGTCAGACTGCCATTTGCTGGCAAATATAATTCTGTGACCACCAAGTTAGGCAGAGGGTTCAAGTCAAATAAGCACATGTGGTGGTAAAATACAAGCATTGCTGTAATCAATTTCCAAAAATCTTTGTGATCAAAAGGTAGTCATAAAACTACTGTGACTTCCCTGATTGTAAATGATTGAAGTTACTGAGCACAAAATCAGCTGTGCAGCTCAGGTCGTGTGGTCGTGTATCGACAAAATCATTTTTTTCATTTAAGACTGAATGTTAACATAACATCTCAAGCGTTAAATTATTTAAGAAAACAGCCCCATAACCTGAAAAGGTATCATAGACCTACTGTACTGACAGTATTGAGTGCTGTCTAGAATACTAACCAAATTTATGGCATTAGTTGACTGTGCTCCTATAATTCTCTTGACACTGCCCACATCTGTGAGTCTGTGCTCATCATCATCCCATCGGCCATATGCCAGGTCAATTCCTCCCACAAAAGCCACAGACTGGTCAATTACAACTATTTTTTCATGGTGTGCCCACAAGTAGACAGAAGATGACATGTGATCTGGATGTCTCATCACCTGTACAAAAACAGAAACTTAATGTGAGAAGTTCAAGTTTATTGACCTTTTGAAATAGGTATGGCAATGGGAAAACCACATAAAACATTGAATTGTTGAATTGTCAATGTCAAAACATAAATAAGGCATTATATGTGGAAGACAAATGGTGTCCAAGGTCCCCACTCCTGTTCAGTGATGATTTTCTCCATGTTGATATCTTTAACACCTTGCAAACCAATTATCCTCTCTGTCCAAAATGTGCACCTCACATTTTGACAACAATTCACACCTTCAGCCATGTAAATTGAAGACCCTTGGAGGCTTCCTGACACCAAAGATTGTAAGAATATGGTGCTTAGGCAACTTTCACACCTCTCATTCTGTTCTTGAGTCTACATATTCCTTGGTTACTGGACTAAGGTATCGAAGCATTTTTTTTGCCTATTTTTGGTGGCTATGTAAGTCATGTATCCCATATGGCTAATTTATTGCTATTGAATTGTAAAGATATGTACCATTAATTGATTATTGAAAAATAATTATTGTTATAGAGTGGCATCCTTTCTCTGAGGATGAATCTGTATTAATATATTCAAAACACGTTTGATCCCAGGCTGAATATATCTGCAGTCAAACTTGAGGTTGCAAGATGGAAATTAGCTCTTGAGGGATACCACTGAATACATATTGTAAAAAAACACAAATCTCTGTAGTGAATGTTTTGTCAAAAATTGTTGCTGTTTACATTGGTCAGTATGTACTGCCTACCTGATATACATCAATGTGTCAAATTAAAGAAGTGTGTTTAAATAAAATGTTGATCTTTTTAATTGGTTCCTCTGTATATACTTCAGGGTTGCCTTAAAAATCCCACAAAATGTAAGGCAAACATTCTCTCTGTATGGAAATAGGGATGATGGCAACCACACCCTAAGCTACACAGATTGCCTTTTTATATAACAAATTTGATGGCTACAAAAGCTATTTTGTAACTTGTTGTTTTAAAAGATTTCACCGCTATTTCCATCTGCAGTCAGCTAAGAAAAAAAAGTTTATTTGCAAACATGGCAACAGTACAGATGATGTCGAAAAGAGAGAATCTTTGGTAAGATACTTTTGAAGAGTGCTTTCACATCTACAAGGCTGCTGGGGGAATGGAACGATTTTGTTACTAGAAAACAGAGACTTATGTGATCATAGTAGGAAGACTGTCATACTTGGCACTCAATTTTAGGAAGTGCACTAAGCTATTTCAGACTCAATAAAACATGCAACAGCTGGTGTACAGAAATCTCCTGGAAATGCAATTTCCTGCTCATGTAATTGGCTTACTGCTTTCCCAACTTTCTCTCTATTATTACAACATTGGGGCTATCACCCATGAAGTGGTTGCAGGATTGTAGGAAGTGATGCAAATCTATGAGTGCTCTTTAGTACAAATGACAACAGATAATACTTTGCAATTACATTTTCTAAAACCCTTAAAATGTACTAAACTGACCAGGGAGGACATTTATCTTGTTAGTTAAATTGAAGTTATATTTTAAGTTGATACATTTCACATCTCTAAAAAAAACAAAAACAAATACAACGGCTCCCATCAATGAAAATCTGTCATCACAGAAAATGGTTAAGCAGATTTAATTTTTAGTAAAAACTGTATCTCAATACAACTGGCAGATCCAGAGACACTAGCAACTAAAGTCAAATGAAACTTGCAGTGCCACTCTAAGCTGAGACAGAGACCACCCTGCTGGTTGCAGTGAAGAGAGTTGGCATCAGTGCCATATTCAGTGGTGTGGGAGCATTATCAAAGAGAAGAAAAGGCACCGCTCACCAACCCAGTGCATTAGTATGTAGATGAGTGTGGAATCCTTCAGCTAGCTTCACTCCACCCATGCCCCGCCTCCAACATGTTTCGCCCCAGGGAGAGGGGTGAAACATGTTGGGTGTTGTGTGGCTGGATTGCCGCTTGCTGAGGCCACATTCATCTACATACTAATAGCATACTGATAGCAGCTGAAGTCACACACAAAGTTTGACCTCTTTTGGAAAGGTTAAGCTTGGTTCTACTTTCCCCCACTTCCAAGCCTACATATGAATCAATGAAACAGCCCTTTACATTAAGTGACCGTTAGGGAAAATGTAGGAGAATTGTGAATTTCTTGTTATGTGCAGTTTTCCCTGAAGCCTTTTATCACAAGCCTTTTATCATATGTTTAATTTAAATTACTGAAGCTCATTACAAGTTTACTTTACTGTAAATATTAACCTCTCCTGCCGCCGCTCCTACGAATGTTGCCCTGATCATTAGAACATTTATATGAAGCCCACTGGCAAACCAATATTTCTGAGTATGCCAATCTCCTGGGTAACTAGTTCTTCCTGTGGATCGAAAGGACTCAGTAGTGATGTTGAACCAGCCATAGGAAACAGTGTAACCTGCAGGGAAGGTATCAGATTACCAACCATAGGAACTAGTGTGACCAACGAGTGTGACCTCCTAGCAGTATTGGTTTACTAGCGAAATTTGGGGGAGAATTTCACATGAATGGAGTGCTACAGAGCGGGTGGCAGGAGAGGCAAGTGTGTACACTCATTGTTTATAGGTATGACTTTCCTGAGACATTTTGGTAACTTACATATCTAGAATTATAAACAATAGATTTCAATAAAGATAAGTTGGGTAGTATGGGGGGCAAATTAAATAACAGGTCTTTAGTCTTTTTGAGATCCATTTGTGAAAAATGGTTCTTTTAAAGACTTGGCTATTCAGGCTCCATCAAGACACTGCCTTGAACTCACATTCCAGTCCTATCAGTAATGTACACACTATTGCAGAAAGTAAAGAATCACTCATAAAAACAATTAAAAACAATTTAAGAAAAAATTATGTCCACATACCTTAATGTTTGGATGTATACGCATGAGAGTCCTCTTACTGTATTCACTATTTATACCCAAAGCCAATTCTACTTCCTTATACAGCATGATAAAGATCTTGACTCCTTGTTGCTGTAAAAACACAGACAAGTAGCAATACCAATACAACTTTTCTTTAAACTTTCTATTACTGTATATACAGCATTAAACATTTTATTGATTAGAACATATAATATGCTTATTTCAAAGGTAGAAGTTTACCAGGTATTTCAATCAATAACAAACCAATATTTTAACTCCCTTTGCACTTCCAAAGGCATTAGACAAAATAATGAATTAAAAAAAAAAACTGAATAAATAATGAACAGCAACCTCAAGGACTACACAGATTAGAAGTTATGACATTAAATGCCCACAGTACAGCATGTACTAAAAGACAACTTACAGCTTTTCTCTTTAGGACACAGTCTAGTCTCCATCGATTTCCTTCCACCACTGGTCGCTTGAGGAATATTTCTGGACTCAGCCTTCAAAGAAAGTAGAAACTAGGTTTCATATATAACCATGTGCTAATCTTCTAAAAAGTAGCAGAATTTGAACAAATACTTTAAAAGATGGAAGGAGCAGATCTGATGTTTTAGTGAAGACAGTCAACTTTCTGCATTTTGGATTAATGGTATCCAACACAGGGTGGATAAAAATAAATCAAAATAAATAAATAAAATAAGATTTGTTAAAACACTAAAAGTTGGATTTTAGTTTTTTAAAACTATCTAAAAATAGTTTTCTATTTAAGATACATTAATTATTTAGTTTATTTAGCATGAAATGGAGCTTAGTTATACTGTATAGCATGAGGCTGTATATTCTGCAATATTGACATTTATTATAAACTCATTCAATGAATTCAAGCTCTGCAAGCTAAGATAACATGCATTGCATTGTTACATTCACACAATTTCACAGTAACTATGAGAAAAAAACATGAAATAGAAGAATTTGAGTAGTTCTCCAGCTATGTGTGATTAACCTATTAACCTAAAATCGGTTCTGATATCGCTGTTTTACTAAGTTGACAGCTTATTATTCTAAAAAGGAAACCTTCATTTGGTTTGCAAATATTAAAGATTCTAACTACCAGCAAGAATGAGTCGGATTCTTTACATTCAAAGAGCACCTGTAATTTTAGATCCATCATGGCAGCGCCTGTTAGCAGGCATCCACTCACCTGCTACCGCTACGTCCCTCACCTTGTGTCACTGCTGCATCACCAGCCGTCCCATGGGACTGTTGGTGAGTCAACAGCAGGTCAGAGGAGGAGCCACTGCGGGACAGAGATGACAGCTACTCTTTAAAAATTATGAATTTAAATCGAGCCTTTTCACTAGTGATTTAAATCAAATCCACCCTGATCCAACATGAATTTAAAAAGCAGCCAATGAAAATGAACTTGTTAATACCAAAATAACAAAAACATATCGAACAAAAAAAAGTTGAGGTGTAAAGGGTGCCCTTAAAACTATAAATGCAACAAATGTAACAAAGATTTGCAAAAGCCTGGATACTCCAATTCAATCGTATCTTTACAGGTAAAATGTTTAGTAACTCAAAAAAAAAGCCAGGTATGTTGAGAGCTGTCAAATCCATATGGAGCCAGTCCCAGAAAAGGTATTTATTCTCACTGCATATTTTTATGTAAGCAGTGGAGAGGGTGGATCTACAACACGGATTTCAGAAGCTAACTTTTGTTCATATTTAAGAGATATATATATATATATATATATATATATATATATATACACACATACATACACACACACACACACACACACAGTGGATATAAAACGTCTACACACTCCCTGCTAAAATGCCAGGTTTCTGCGATGTGGTTGCATAAGTGTGCACACCCTCTTATAACGGGGGATGTAGCTATGTTCAGAATTCAAAATCATGTTAAAACGGTGTCAGTACACAGCTGTCATCATTTAAAGTGCCTCTGATTAACCCCAAAGTTCAGCTGTTGTAGTAGGTCTTTCCCTGACATTTTCTTAGTCGCACCCTTCAGCAAAAGCCATGGTCCGCAGAGAGTTTCCACAGCATCAGAGGGATCTCATTGTTAAAAGGTATCAGTCAGGAGAAGGGTACAAAAGAATTTCCAATGCATTAGATATACCATGGAACACAATGAAGACAGTCAATATCAAGTGGAGAAAGTATGGCACAACAGGGACATTACCCAGAACTGGACGTCCCTCCAAAATTGATGAAAAGACGAGAAGAAAATTGGTCTGGGAGGCAGCCAAGAGGCCTGCAGCAACATTAAAGGAGCTGCTGGAATATCTGGCAGGTACTGGCTGTGTGGTACATGTGATAGCAATCTCCCGTATTCTTCATATGTCTGGGCTATGGGGTAGAGTGGCAAGACAGAAGCCTTTTCTTACGAAGAAAAACATCCAAGCCCGACTAAATTTTGCAAAAATACATCTGAAGGCTCCAAAAAGCATGTGGGAAAATGTGTTGAACTTTTTGGCCATAATTTCAAAAGATATGTTTGGTGCAAAAACAACACTGCACATCACCAAAAGAACACCATACCCACAGTAAAGCATGGTGGTGGCAGCATCATGCTTTGGCGCTGTTTTTCTTCAGCTGAAACTGGGGCCGTACTCAAGGTAGAGGGAATTATGAACAGTTCCAAATACTAGTCAATATTGGCACAAAACTTTCAGGCTTCTGCTAGAAAGCTTAACATGAAGAGGAACTTCATCTTTCAGCATGACAACGACCCAAAGCATACATCCAAATCAAGGAATGGCTTCACCAGAAGAGGATTAAAGTTTTGAAATGACCCAGCCAGAGACCAGACCTGAATCTGATCACAAACTTGTGGGATGATCTAAAGAGGGCTGCGCACAGGAGATGACCTCGCAATCTGACAGATTTGGAGTGTCTTTGCAAGGAAGAGTGGGCAAATATTGCCAAGTCAAGATGTGCCATGCTGATAGACTCATATCCAAAAAGACTGAGTGCTGTAATAACATCAAAAGATGCTTCAACAAAGTATTAGTTTAAGGGTGTGCACACTTATGCAACCATAGTATTTTAGTTTATTTTTACTTCCCTCCATCTAAAAGATTTCAGTTTGTTGTTCAACCGAGTTGTACAGTTTATAGGTTACAATAAAAGGTGGAAAAAGTTCCGAAATTATATATTTTGTCTCATTGTTTTACATCACAGAAACCTGACATTTTAACAGGGTTGTGTAGACATTTTATATCCACGGTGTGTGTATATATATATATTTGCGCATGCTCAGCATAAATGAGTACAACCCTTTGAAAAGATTTTAATCAATATCTCAATGAACACAATTTTCAAAATATTTACATAACTCAGTATTTATAGAACATTTGTTTAGCTCATTACATGAAAGTAAGGTTAATATCATAACTTAGATTACAAAATCTTCAGTTTTACTCAAATTAGTTGATGCAAAAATGAATACACCCCACAACAAAACCTACTACATCTAGTATTTTGTATGACCTCCATGATTTGTAAGGACAGCACCAAGTCTTCTAGGCATGGAATAAAAAAGTTGGTGACATATTGGAACACCTATCCTTTTCAATTCTTCAAGAATGACATCTTTTAGAGCCTGGATGCTAGATGGAGAGTGATGCTCAACTTGTCTCTTCAAAATTCCCCATAGGTGATACATTGAGTTCAGATCATGAGATACACTTGGCCACTGAATCACTTTCACCCTGTTCTTCTTCAGAAATGCAACAGTGGCCTTAGATGTGTGTTTTGGATCACTGTCATGTTGGAAAAGTGCACAGTAACCAAGGGCATGGAGTGATGGCAGCATCTTCTCTTTCAATATCAGTACATCTGTAAATTAATGATACCATCAATGATATGCAGCTCCCCGTTACCAGCAGCACTCATGCAGCCCCACAGAAGGACACTGTCACCATGTTTCACTGTAGGCACTATGCATTTTTCTTTGTACTCCTCACCTTTGCGAAGTCATACAGTTTTGAAGCCATCAGTTCCAAAACCATTTATCTTGGTCTCATCACTCCAGTGTGCTGAGTCCCAGTAGTCTTCTTTTTCAGCATGGGCCCTGGCAAATTTTAGGCAAGCTTATTTGTGCATGGGCTTTAGGGGGAGGCATCCTTCGTGGACGACACCCATGCATGCCATTCCTCTGCAGTGTATGCCATTTGGCTTTCTACTTCTTTAGCTAACTGCAATGAACTTACATGACTATTTTCTTCAACCCTTCTCATCAGAAGATGTTCCTGTTGAGGTGTTAACTTCCATGGCCTGGACATCTCTGTGAGATGGTTGCAGTTCCATCTCTGTTAAATTTTTGCGTCACTTTTGCTACAGTATTCTGACTGATAAGTAAAGCTTTTCTGATCTTTTTGTAGTCTTCACCTTTCTTGTGTAAATTAATAATTTTCTTTCTCAGGTCTTGTGACTCCTTGTTCTCTTCCATGTGGTTCCATTGCTGACAGCAGAAAATGGGAAGAGTTTTCTTTAAGTAACGCCCTTTTATAATCACCTGTCTGCTGGACACCTGTTTAATGAATAATTAGACTCACCTGTAGTTTAATTCTTGTTATTTGGGATTTTGTGGTCTTAAATTTTGCTTTGCTCCTAAGACTTTCATTGGGGTGTATTCATTTTTGCAACATGGTCTTGAATTAATTTGTAAGGAAAAATACTTATGTGTGTGCAAATTAACAAATGTTGTTTGCAATCAATGGCCTGCATTTGTTGGAGTATTTTGTAGTGTAGTGTCCCATAGAATATGTGGATTCTGAAAGGAATTTTTTTTTTTAAACTTTGAGAATCGATTAAACATGTACTCTGACCAATGGTGAACAAATGTTTGCTTTATACACTAAAAGCAAAAGAAAGATAAATAAGCTAACCTTTTTTTCTTAGTAAGTCACCTCAACATTCTGATGGCACAATCACAATTATAACAAGAGACAACTAGACAGGCAGGCATACAGTGTTCTACCTAACCAGCAAACAAAGTATAACTAAAGGCAAAACTTTTGTTTTTTTTTAGTTTAGGATAGAGTGGAGAGGGATTAGAATCTATTGCTGCCTGTGCCCCCATTAAGGAGATTCACCCTATTTGCCCTTTTTATCATTGAAAGTGAAATAAAAGAAAATCCCAAATTTTGGGCTATCCACAGAAAAGTAAGAGGGGAAATCTTCCAATGGGGACATTAGTGATGGTGACCTGGGGGTCCTCAAGGGATTCCCTTAATTTGCAAGGATTTCCTCTCACTTCCTGTTTGGCTATGGAACTGAAAACTATAGTTCTTTAAAACTCAACTTGCTCTCACATTCTCAGACCATTAAATAATGTTCAGTAGCCATTTGTTGCAACTTATGGTGACAATGCTTAGCCTAAGTGCCAGGCAAAAGAGTCCATTTTGGAATTCCACCCCCATACACAGTAAAATACGTAGTGTTCATAAGCAGGTATGGTGTAAAATGA